TTGTTCAGCATCTTAGTTGTAGAGGGCAGTGTCACTGGCCCTCATATGTGGGATCCGAACCGTGGCCCTCTGGCATCCCAAGCCAGTTCTTAACCATCGCGCCACTCGGCCGGCCCGCCAAACTATTTTCTAGAGTTGCCATATCATTTTACATTCCCACCAGCAATGTCTTAGAGGTCCAGTTTTTCTGCACCCTCCTCAACATTTGGTCTTTATACCATTTTATTTTAGTTATTGATTTATTTCTATTTAAAGAGACATCTAGTTCAAAGCTGGCTAAATGTTAAGATCCTATAGAGCGGGATGTTCGGTACATAATAAAGTAACTTTAAAAATGTGCATAAGAAGTGGAAAAAATGAGGCAGATAACAAGGGCAGATAAGTCTTTCAAGAAATTGTCCTGTGAAGGAAAGGAACCTGACTGAGCTCAAGCTACAGGAAGAGGTAATGGAAGAGGTGCTTCATTCAGTGCAGCAGACGTGGTTATGTTTATATTCTGGAAGGAAAAGAACTGGAGGGAAGAAGTTAAAGATGGTGGAAGAAGAAGGAGGAAGAAAAGGAGGAGGAGGAGGAGGAGGAGGCGAAGAAGAAGAAAGAAAGAAGAAAGAAAGAAAGTGGTGCAATCTAAAAGATGCAGAAGGAGGTAGCATTAGGGTACAGTGTCACCTCTTCTCCAAAATGGTGCAAGTAGGAAATGAGGATGGGTGCAGAGGTTGATATATTTTCTGGTAAGGGAGCTATGTTGAGAAAGCTCCTGTAAATTAAGGTGCTGCCCCTGCCTCCCCCCTCCACCCCCCACCCTGGGAAGTGAAGGAAGAAAGATAGGTAAGCAGTCAATCTCAGCTTTGAGGAATGGGAGAGACAGCTAGGTGGAAACACACAAAAAGATAACCCAACAGCATTTCCAGCCTCACCGGCACTCTGACCTCAAATGTGCAGGTCAATGAGTTTTGATAAATGTGTATACCTGTGTAACTGTCACCACAATCAAGATATAGAACATTTCCACCACCTCTAAAGATTCCTCTGTGTCCCTTCACAGTCAAGTTCCGTCACCCACCTCCAACCCCAGGCAAACACTGATTTCCTTTCTGGAAGTATGTTAGTTTTGCCTTTTCAAGAATTGCATAAAAATGGAATCATACAGTTTGTACTCTTGTATCTGGCTTCTTTTGCTCAGTAAAATGTTTTTTGAGATTCATCCATATTGTTGTATATCAGTAATTTTCTCTTTTTTCCCCTTTTTTATTAATGAATGGTGTTCCATTGTATGGATAAACCACAGTTTGTTTATCCATTCACGTCTTGGTGAACACTTGGGTCGTTTCCAGATTTTGGCTATTATGAATAAAGCTGCTGTCAACATTGAGCTATAAAACTTTTGTAGGAAAATATTTTCATTTCTCTGAGATAAACACCTGCGTGTGGAATTGTTGGAATTTTTTATTACTAAAATTTATGATTTTGATTTATAAAGTTGAGCATATCATACAGAGTTCCCATATCTACTTTTCTCCACAATTTCTCCTTTAGTAACATCTTGCATTAATGTGTTATATTTCTTACAAATCATGAACCAATGTTGATACCATTATTATTAGGTAAAGATCATGATTTGTTTAGCTTTCTTTAGTTTTAATCTAATGTCCTTTTTCTGTTCCAGAATCCCATCCAGAATACCATATTACATCTAGTTGCCATGTCTCCTAAGGCTCTTCTTGGCTGTGACGTTTTTTCATACTTTCCTTGTTGTTGATGACCTTGACAGTTTTGAGGAGTATTGGTTAATTATACTCGTATTGTAGTATTCCTCTATTGATGTTTTTCTTATCATTAGAGTTGGGTTATGAGCTTGGGGGAGGAAGATTGCTGAGATAAGGTTACATTTTCATCATATATCAAGTGTACACATGATTTATGAATGTTGATGTTAACCTGGTTACCTGGTTAGCATCCTCTTCTTCCACACTGTGCTCTTTATGAGTTTTTATGTAACAGAAAATTATTCTGTGTTCCTTCTAGAATTTAGTGCCAGGAAGTTTGTCTTTCCTGGCATGCTTGTGTACTTTCATTTATCAGAGAAGGAGAACTACATGACCCAGCTTGGATGTTCTTTTATTACCTGGACTGAGTAAACTGAGAGACAGAGGGTAGATTTATTGCAGAAGGTCCAGGTTCCTGATATGATTTTCTCTTCCTTCCATCATTTTTTTCTCACTCTTTATTGTAATTGCTTCAAATTGTAATTGTGCTAATTGTATTGTAACTACCTCAAACTCTTTGGACTTAGAGTAGAAGTTACAAGTCAGCCATCATATGCCCACACTGGACTCCAGCTTTCACCTGGTCACCCTCCCTCAATGCTCACTCTTGGTGTTCCTCCAGGAAAGTGACAGACAAGGTGCTCCCTCAGGGCATTTCTCCAATCCAGATCAGAATGGCAGCCCCAGGGAACAGCAACTTGGGTGAGTGGGGCTAGCATATGCTGGGGGTTGCTGGAGGGGGGGGTTGTTAATAGACTTGGAGGGGTTTTATTCCTTGACTGGGAGTTTAGACCCAACCCCGCTGCCAGGGCAGTATAGCATAGCGGTTAGCAAAATGGGCTGTAAAGTTAGACTTTTTGGTTTAAAATGCTATCTCTGCCAGTCACTATTCTTTTTTTTTTGTTTTTTTTTGTTGTTGTTGAGATTTTATTGGGGAATTGGGGAAGGGGAATAGCCAAGATGTTGTCCTTCAATCTTAGTTGTGGAGAGGGTAGCTAGCTCAGCTCCAAGTCCAGTCGCCATCTGGCTGCCCGTCGGCCGCTCAGCTCAAGGTCCTGTGCTCAATTTTAGCTGTGGGTGGGCATAGCCCACCATCCCATGTGGGAGTTGAACTGGGAACCTTGTTGTTAGGAGCACATGCTCTCACCAACTGAGCCATCCTGCCACCTGTTGGCAGCTAAGCGGCAGTTCAGCTCAGGCACAGCTCACTGGCCCATGTGGGTATTGAACCGGCAACCCTTTTGCTCAGAGCTCGTGCTCTTAACCAACTGAGCCACTTGGCCAACCCTGCCAGTCACTATTCTTAATCATGGGTAAATTGCTTAATAATTCAGGGCTCAGTGTCCCCACTTGTAAATGGATAGTACTTCATGGATTTTTGTAAAACAGTAAATGAAATAATATTTGAAAAGAACATAAAAGAGCACCTAGCATATTGTAAATTATAAAGATTTAGCTTTATTCTGTTTTTCCCTTTCCTGTAGCCCTGTCCCCACGGCCCCCATGCCGTCCTGGGCTCCCAGCCCGAAAGCCCTCTGGCTTCTACCACCAAGAAGTGTGGCACTCGCTGTCCTGCTCCAGCCGCTCCTTCTCCACTGTTGACAGCATCCTGGGCTGCCTGGCTGGCCACGTGGTCCACATGATTGGGGACTCCACGCTTCGACAGTGGTGGGAGTATCTGCAGTACACGGTGCCCTGTGAGTGGCCCTGAGGGGAAAGGGCAGGACACCTGGAGCCTCACAAAGAAAGTGGTGAACAGGGAGGGCGTTGAGAGACAAGACTCCTATGTTTGGAGAAGTTGCGGCAGTATGCTGGGGATTTTCCAAGGGCAAAATGAGCAAAGGAATCAGAGCTGGGAGAATGCAATTATCATCGCCAAGCTTCCTTTCCAGTTTAGTTTACGAGAAGTTATGTAATGAACTCAAATGACAGTATTAAAAAAAAACCTTTCAAATAATACAAGAACAGTCCTCCATTTAGTTTTTAAATAAAATCCCCATTTACTCTCTTAAGTAAAATTAATATGTGAAAGAAATAAAGTTCAGATTTTTGTCCCCCACCTACCTCAATTTCTTCCTCTTTCCCCTTTCACTCCCTCCCCTCCCATCCTCTTCTCTCTGTCTCTCTGCTTTCTTTCTGTCTCCCCTTTCTTTGCCTGACTGTCTTTTTTTTTTTTTAATATTTTACTGGGGAATTGGGGGAAGGGGAACAGACAAGTTGCTGTTGTTTTGTTCTTCAGTCTAGTTGTGGAGGATGTCGCTTCACTGGCCCAAGCTGGCACCATCATTGCGCTCTTCCGGGCGAGGCAGATCAGTCGCCGGTTTCTGGACGGCTGCTCACGCTGGCTGCAGGGTACACATGATAGCTCATGGCAACCCACTGCAGCAGGGACTGCAGCCTACGCTGTCGCCGGCAACTCACAGCAGCCCAGCTCTAGGTCAAGCTATTGTTCAGCATCTTAGTTGTAGAGGGCAGTGTCACTGGACCTCATATGTGGGATCTGAACCGAGGCCCTCTGGCATCCCAAGCCAGTTCTTAAACAACGTGCCACTCGGCCGGCCCTCACTGTTGTGTCTTGACCAGCAGCCGATAGAGCTATGATTCTCTTAGCACCTAAAACCTGAGTGACTTTTGCTGAGTGTGTGTCGCTGTCTCAGCCCCTCCAAAGTTAAATTTATCCAATCCCGAATCTTCCATGTGTACCATTTTTCTAAATAGTCAAGATTAATGGAAAACAGAAAATTATCACAGGCAGGACTTGTGAATAACCTCTCATTTAGAAAAGGAAAATAAACACTTAGCATCTATAGTGCTTATTTTAAGTACAATTGTGCCCAAGCATCCAGTACCTACTCCAAAGTCCCTACAAGTCTTGAAGATATCTGAGGAGTGGGAAAACAGCCTGAATGCCTGTTGGACTTGGCCCACTATTTGGTGTTCATAATCTCTGTGAACTCAATTCTCAAGTTAGCAACCATCTAATTGTGGGGCTTACTTAACATGTTTTTGAGGAAAGTCCACTTAAACATACTATCTCCAAACTCAGATGAGTGGTGCAGATACAATCCTGTCTTCCTGCAAAGTTTAGAAACTTGCCATATTGTCACCCTCAGTCACTAGGCCTAATTTGAGGTTTCCCTTTATTTTAAACAGTTTATTGAGGTGTAACTGACAAGTCATAAGCAGCATATATTTAAAGTAGACAGTTTGATAAATTATAACATATATGAGTATGTACATCTGGAAAACAATCTCCACACATAAGATAATTAACATATCCACCACTCAGAAAGCTTTCCTGGTAGCCCTTGCTAGTCCCCCCCTTTTACCCCTCCCTCTCCCCAGGCAACCCACACATCTGCTTTCTGTCTTTTTAGCTTAGTTTGCATTTGCTAGAACTTCATATAAACGGAGCCATACAATGTGTACTCTTTTGTGTATATGGCTTCTTTCCCTCAGCATAATTATATTGAGATTTGTTCACATTTCTGAACGTAGCAATAGTTCATTCCCTATTTATTACTGTATAGTATTCCATTGTATGGATATGCCATTATTTGTTTATCCATTCATCTGTTGATGGACATTTGGGTTGTTTCCATTTTTTAGCTCTTACAAATAAAGCTGCTATGAATATTTGTGCACATGTCTTTGCATGGATATATGCTTTCATTTCTCTTGAGTAAATACCTTAAAGTGGAATGGCTAGATCATATGGTAGGTGTATGTTAAATTTTTTAAGAAACTGCAAAACTTCTCCAAACTTGCTATACCACTTTATATTTCCACCATCACTGGGTAGGACTCCCAGTTGCTCTATATTCTCACCCACACTTGGAAAAATCAATCTTTTAAATTTGAGCTATACTAATAGGTATGTAATGTTCATAATGCCCCGCTCAAGCATTTTTTTATGATGGTTGCTTTAAAAATCCCTATTAGATCATTCCAGCATCTGAATAATCTTGGTGTTGGCACTTGATAATTGTCTTTTCTCATTCAAATTTGTGATTATCATGATTGTTGGTATGATAAATGATTTGCTATTGTTTACTAGACATTTTGGATATTATGTTGGGAGACTCTGGATCTTATTTTACCTTTGTTCTTTTTAGCAAGCACTCACCCTGTTCAGGTATAGCATGCAGGTCTAGGTATGTGCTCAGCTCCCTTTTGGGTCCTGCTGATGCCATCCCAGTGAAAATGGAGCACCAACTCCATGGCCTTGTTGCCACTGGGTGAAGGTACAAGTTTAAATTTAACTCCACACTTTGCCCTACTGACACCAGGGGTGGGCGAGCACAGTGCCAACTACCATATCTTCACTCCACCTTTTTATGCCATGTTGCTACCAGATGGGAATGGAAGCTCAGGTCCCTCCTGGAGTCAATTGTATTTTAATCAATGTATGTGTTACTTTGAATTCCTTATATATTACAAAAAACCAATTAGATATCTTGCAAATGGAAATATCCTTTAAAAACCCTGTAGAAGGAATAAAAAACAGAATGGATTCCACTTTAGAGCAAATTAATAATTTAAAGAATTAGGGCCGGCCGAGTGGTGCAATGGTTAAGAACTGGCTTGGGACGCCAGAGGGCCCCAGTTCGGATCCCACATGAGGGCCAGTGATACTGCTCTCTACAGCTAAGATGGTGAACAACAGCTCAACCTGGAGCTGGGATGCTGTGAGTTGCCGGTGATGGCGTAGGCTGTAGCCCCTGCTGCAGTGGGCTGCCATAAGCTACCGTGTGTGGCTGGCAACCAGCGTGAGTGGCCGGCAGCTGGTGTGAGCTGGTGTGAGCTGGTGTGAGCTGGTGTGAGCTGCCAAGAGCCACCGTGAGCTGCAAAGAGCCGCCGTGAGCAGCCGTCCAGAGGCTGGCGACTGATCTGCCTCACCCGGGAAGAGCGCAATGATCATACCAACATGGGCCAGGGAAGCGACGTCCTCCACAACTAGACTGAAGAACAAAAGGACAGCAACTTGTCTATTCCTTTTCCCCAGATTCCCCAACGCTGTTCCCCTCCCCCAATTCTCCAATAAAATCTTAAAAAAAAAAAAAAAGTTAAAAAATTATTCCAGAATTCAGGCTCTCTTCTGCATCATTATAGTATTCTTTAGAATTCTCTTTCCCCTATTATAGTTAATAATTCTTTACATTAATTTTCCCTGTTCAAACTAATGTGTGATTTCTTTCTCCTGATTGAACCCTGACTTATACACTAGTAATTCCTAATGAGTCGATTTTTGACATTTCGCTTTTTTGCCAAAATAAAAATAGCCCTAGAATTTCAGTGGTTTTATTGTCAGAAAGTGGGCCCTTCTCGGCACAAAGTCCAGGTCCTTTGCAACTCGAGCAAAGACTTGAACGAGATGCCAGAGTAAAGTACTGAAAAAGTAGTTTATTCAAAGAGATAGGACATTTCAAAGAGTAGAAGTAGGCTGAGCAGTAGAGAATGGCTCAAGGGCCCATTATTAGAAGAGAAATTACATTCCAAAGAGTTTGGAGCAGGCCACACGAAAAGGCAAGGCTCAAAAGGCTTGAAAAGGAAGAAAAGGTCAAAAGAGGAGGGCGTCCAAAAAAAAAGGGAAAAAAGGGCGGACTTCCCAGGATTTGGGGTTTTTATCCCTTCTCTAGAATGGGCTGTTCCCCTAAGGGCGTGGGAGCACTTGATTAGCACCTGTGATTGACAAGAGGTACTGTGCAGGTGCGAGTGACTGGTCTGATCTAGTTGGGTATTTTGCACCCATTTCTTTTAGGGGTAGATAGTTACAATGAAAAGAAGTTTTGGGTTGAGAGGGGAGATAACTGGGCGGTCACATTCTGTGGGACATGCAGGAATGCAGAGACCCAATGTCTGCTTCTAACTGCCTGCCTAGTTTTCCCTTTGAGAGACATGATCCCCATAAAATCTCTATGGGAAGCTGAGGGACAGGAGGTCTCTTCTTCTGATCTGCTTCCAACTAAGCAGGGGTGTAGAGTTGTTCCTGCCTATTGGAAGATTCACGGAACTCTCTCCCTAGCTTATCTCAGATGAGAGGAAGAGGTCTCGAGCTCTGCCTGGAAGGCGGTGTTCGCTTCTTTTGGTTGTGACTGACAATCTTGTTGGGGTATCCTCTGTATCCCCAAGGTACCTGCATGAGGAAAAATAGATTTTAATTAATAAATCTGTTAGCTCTCATGAAGCCTGTGGCCATTCAGCCTGTTACTCAGGTGGTATGAATTGTCTGGGCCCAGAATGGGTTTGGCATTCAGCTTACTGGCCTGGGAAATAGGAAGTCATAGGCTTTCAAGTAGTTATCTGAAGCAGGGGTAGGAGACTTCTATTGTTTAGGATTCAGAAACTTATTTACAAAGCAATCAAGAAGTCGGGATGGGGGGGATAGGAGAATTATAGGATTCAGGTTAGGAGCATCTTTAATCTAGGATTCACAAACTGATGAGAAGAGTAATCAAAGCCAGGGGCTAAGAAACTAAGAAACTAGGGAGGAGACATTTCTATACTTAACATTTCTATACTTTACATTTCTATAGGAAAGAAAACTTAAAAGTCTTTGGGGGTGGGGGAGCACTCTCCTGGCCGGTAACAGTTTGACACAGTAAAAATTTGTTCTGCTCAGCCAAAATCCAGCCTTTGAGAGCAGGATTCCACACTGTAGTCCTCAAAGCTGTGACTCTGGAACCTGGGTTCCTTT